AAAATCATTCTTCGGGAGTTCGAAATAATCCCTTGACGATGTTCAGTTATATAAATTCATTCATTATATTATTTTGGTGTATGTGAAGATAATGAGAAATAAAAATAATGACATTGCTTCATTAGTCTAAAATCGATATAAACAACACAATATGTTTAATCAATGAACACGTTAAAAATAATAAAAAAAAATTTTTTTAATCGACGACGTTACGGACCGAAAGGCTATTTTTAAAATTGATATCCATATTTGGTTAATGTTTTTTTATCGCACCAGTATTTCTTCAAACTAGTGAGATCCAAAAAAACCACTGCCACCTGCTGTTTAAAACTTTTGGGAGCGAACCACCCGAAAAGAAGACTCAAAAATGAAATCATTCAGTCGTTACACCCTGAAGCGAATCCGGAAATTAAAAAAAAAAAAAAAAAATGTTGAAAACCCGTACTATATACATCACGAACCGGTTTAAATTTAAGACCCGGGCAATATAATATTAAATAAAAATAATTTTTTCTTTGATTTTTATTAAAAGAAAAAAATATTAAGCTAATTACATGTTTAAATGATAGATAAAATTAGATAGATATCTTGAGGAAAAAAATATATATATTAAAGTGTTTACTATTTTTCTTTAAAATTAAAACTTGATTCAATGTAATTTACGTTTTACTAAATATAATTTTCTGCGTTTGAAAAAATCTTTTGCTAGGACAGAAGTTGCAGGAATAAAGAAATATTTGATGAGATAAAATGATAAAATATAAAGCTGCTTTTGTTTACATCGCATCTCTTTAAAGGATCTTCTGTAGTTCTATTCGAATGAAAAAATCATTAAAATCGCAAATTCGTAATTGCACCCTATACATAAAATTAGGATCGTCGTCGAAATAAAGTTCGAAAAATACAAAATAATTTATTAATTTATTTTATTTTTTAAATAAAAAAAAAAATTAATATTTTAGCGAGTTTGATTTTAATGCATAATGTGATCAGATACTTAGTAAAACTTGGATAACAAATAGACAGAATGTTTAAATGTAACGCGTAACTTGGTTTATTAAATAATTATATAATTATAAATTTTCTTTACATCAATAGTAAAAATATACAAGGAACATTCTCGTTAATTAATTTAAAATCACAATATGTTAATATGCTTGCACTTAGCCAGATATAGATTAACCTATAACTGTTTCTCCCGGACACCGCGTAGAGGTGGCAAGCCTTGTTCGAGTTAAAAAAAAAAAATAAATTTTTTTTTTAAGAAATTCATTATAAACTAATAAATTTACTAAGAATTAGGGCGTACCGTATTATTCCTTTCTAAATATTAAATTTATGTATAATTTCTCTTGAAAAAAAAAAAATATCTCTCTAAAAAAAAAAAATATTACCACAGGCAACATAATATGACGTTAATGAAAACCAAAAACATATAAAATGTAGCCCTTTAATCCCAAAATTACTCGGTTTAAATGACCTCTAAAGAAGATCACTGGTCCATCATTACCCGCTTTGACAATTTCTTCACAGGACAGGAAAATCAAGCTGAGGAAAATAAAGCTGGATGGACTGGCAACCGCGTATTCATGCCACAGGAAAACGCCCGATAACTCGGTATAACCGGTTATTATAGCCGCAGGCAAAACGCCTGCTAACTCGATATAATGATTATTTAGGTTAAACTGATTCAACTTCAAAGATCACTGGAACCGGGTTATAGCCGCTGCCGATAACTCGTTATAATGACTTTTACCGTTAAACTGGTTAAACTTCAAAAACCACCGGTCCATCATTACCCGCTTTGACAATTTCTTCACAGGAAAATCAAGCTGAGGAAAATAAAGCTGGATGGACTGGAAATCGGGTTACTTGGCCATAGGCAAACCTCTATTCTTCTCTTTGTCTTTGGCAGTACCAAAGAACTCGGAAATCTTCGTTTTATATTGTATATAGAAAAATGTTTAAGCCTTATACTTGAAAAGTAAATAAATAAAAATACAAATAATAAATAATAAATAAATAGAAAATATACCTTGTAGTTGATTTTCCGGTCTTGGAGAAGTGGAAAGAAGTGAATTTTTTTTTTGTTTTCAAGCAAAAAGGGGTTTTTAACGCTTGTTATGACGCACGTCACATAAACTTTTCGGTCCAATTCTATTGGCTCAATCCATCTCCATATGTATAATGATAAATCAAAATTTTGGTCAAAATAATGAGAAAATAACTGGTTTAGCAGTTATATCTTTAACCGGTTTAAACCGAATTTAAAAATTATACCAAACCGGTTCCTACATCTTTTAACTGGACAATCAAAAAAAAATTTATTCTCATTTTATTAATTGTTTTAATCATCAAAAATAGAACGAAAGTAAATTTATGATCATCACACAAAAGTAATCCAAAATAGAAATTTATTAGATTATCCTTAGCTTTTAGAACAAAAGGATTGATCGAATATTTTATTTCTTTATAAAAAGGCACTGATTCTAAACGAAAAAAAAAATTGATTACAATTAAAACATACCTTTGTAAAGAAATAAAAACCATGAACCGAAAATTTATTTTTGCATTAATTTTAATGGTTGTGTTTTCCACAGCCAATGCAACAACAGAATTTAGACAATGTATGTATGGTGTACTTGCAAAACCCTTACCCTCGGTTACAATTAATCCTGATCCAGTCGACCCCGGAAAACTCGTGACTTTTAATGTTTCTGGAACTATACCTACAAAAATCACGGAACATACCGCAATTCAAGCTTATTATTACGATCTTAAAAATGGTGAATACATAGACGACAAATATATTGAAAGTATTTGTACTGGAACTGGGTGTTCAATTGAAGCTAATGCTCCATATACTAAAATATTTAAGTTTCTGGCACCACCAAACTTACCTTCTCGATATTTAATTGAAGTTAATGTTAGAGAAAAAAGTGGCGGAGAAATTCTAGCTTGCGCATGTACAGTACAATTTTATCCACCTCGTTGATTCTGCGATTGCTGCGCTTCCTATCACTCTATAATTATTTTAATTTATTTTTTATCATTTTATAATTTTAATTCTGTTATTGATAGAATTTATTTACCATAACTTTTATTCTGGATAAGAAGTCTTTAATATTTAATAACACTTAGACACTTTAAAAAAGACAAAGTTTTACATTTCACGATAATTGTTTTTTTGACCGATCGATTTATGCACTAGTAGTAAATTAACTATTAAAATTTTACGGGTTTCTTGATATTTTCTTAATTGTCCGAATAGATCCATTTCATTAAATTTACAATTTTTTCAAATAGGATTGATTATTTACTAATACTTACATAATACCGTAAATAGTTAATATACTCAGGTATTATACGAATTCAAAGAATATTTAAATTAGATATGACTTAGAAATTACTTTAAATTATTTTTAGAAATCTTAAATTGAAAGTGTTCTACTTTAAATTGTATAAAATTTAAATGCGTTTAAAATTGTAGTTATGCTTTGAAAAGTTGCTTATAAAAACATAGGTAATTCTGTAAAAAAAAAAAACATCAAAATATAATATGATTACCAAGACACTTCAGTTTTTTTTTTTTTTTTTTACTGTATTACATGATTATTATTAAATGCAAATTTTTTTATATTCTGTGTCAAAAAAAAATACTACAATGTTCTTTAGGTGCATTACAAAAATATGATGCTATCTAATGCTAATTATCACTTAATGATCAATAATTTATTGTAATTATTCTGATTTAGACCACCTGTTGGGTTTGATATAAATCTATAACAAAGTTATGAGCAGTAACTCCAACAGGGACATTGATGACATATTCAGCTGTGGAAGGAGCTCCTCCAAGATAGGTGGATTCTAAAATACTTCTTGTACTGGAATATAAATTTGCTGGGTAAGAAGACCTGGTCCTGCACAAACAGTAAGAGCACCAGTGTAATAATTCAGAGTACCAAAGTTTCACTACAATATTTGCCCAATGGCGTGTAATCTACCTCTTTATAATATACAATGGTATTGCTTGCCTAATATTAGAAATAAAGAAAAATTAGAACATTTTGATCATTGAATAATAAATAGGTTGTGATACATATAATCATACACTAATCAAATTATCCGTTTGCATTTCGTATAACTTTATCTGAATAAATTTTAGTTTCAAATATGCATTTTACATATTTGTTATCGCATCCAAATACTACACTTTTTATTCCAATTATTAAAACTTTAGGACACAGCAATTTCGCACATTATTCAAGCGTAGTATCTTTCCTAAATTATTACTTTGTCAGAAAACTAAAAAAAATCTCACAATGTCAGGAGTCCTTGAAGAGATTCTATGAGATTGTATACATCTTTGCGATAGAGGTAGAATTTAAGATTTTGGAATAATATTCAAGCTCAGATATATAGCAATATCAGGTGCTGACGGTTTTTCTTTTTCACGTAATTGATAATAAGCTATTATAGGACATGAGAAAATTATAAAACAGTTAATAAGACTAAGCAATACAAAAGGCATTTATCTTACCTATATCAAATGGTTAATAATAATACCTCCTTTAGGAACTTCAATAACTGATGCATGCACTGCTTTTTCTACCTCAACTATAAATACATTTCCCTTTAAATCAATATCAAATTTATATCTTTGTATATCATGACGTTCAAAGAAAATATTAATTGTTTCTATTGACAAATCCAGCCTATCTATATAGGAAAACTAACATACTGTACTTAATCTATCTGTCTAATATTCACTCTTTTAAACTCTTTTTACGCTTTGAAAATTCCTTTCTAGGGTAACATTCTTATAACCATTTTTAAAAAAAAATATTATCGTATTAAGATTATACAATCTGATGTAAAAGTTTTTGGACAAATATTTTTCGACATAACTTTATAACAACTGTGCTAAATCACATGGTAAAATATTTATTCAAAAGCTAAAAAGCAGGAAACTTTATTAAAAATAAAATTAATAGGAAATGCATTTTCCATTTTTCTCAATTATAAGTTTACATCTCTCCTTCATTTAATTAACTAGACTTTTAATAATGTTCTGTAGAATTTTTGACTATTCCTCCTTCATAAAATTTTTCAAGTTCCCAATATTTTGTAGTTATCATATCTTTACATTCCTTTTAATAATTGCCCATAAATTTTCTATAGAGTTCAAGTTGAGACTCAGTTCATAACAGCTGAAACTTTTCTTTGCAGAAAATTTTTAGCTACATTGCTTGTATGCTTAAGATCGTTATTTTGCTAAAGGTGCTAATTATTATGTAGCATCTTTTTGATCTCAAGAAAATGCTTCTTTATTATTTTAATATAAAATTACCTAGTCATATTCTCTCAGAAGTAGTAAAGACTGATTTTGCCCTGAATACAAAATCCTACCCTATGTGTGATTCTTGTTCAGACCTTTGGAATGTGATAAACTAGTTGTTAACTCTTATACTAATATTTTACAGTATTACTAAATAACCAAAAGGATGTTTTATCTGAAAAAAGTGTGCAATTCCAATTATCATTTATATTAAGTGTCGGACAGCATAAGTGAGTTTTATATGATTAGTTGCTAAATATCTCCTTAATTTTTATAAAAATTTACGATAATTAGTGAAATTTATTGCTGATCATCACTAAAATTATAAAAGTACATGACTTTTTTTAAATGTAACACAAAATTTTTAAAAAATGCTACTTTTACCAAATTGTAAATCTTGTAAAATAAATAATTGTAATAAAAATGTTGTCAAATTTCATACTTTTACCAAGCTTGCATATGAAAAAGCTAAAACAAAAGGAACATTTATTATATATAACTATTTAAAAGTTAGTGATCAATTTTGTCAAATGCATTAAATCAATATTATTGAATCAGACCGAAATAAATATTTAAGTTTACCTTTAAATAATTTGTCAGTTCATGATAACAATATAAATACTGAAGTAGAAAGTAATCAAGGTAATTATAATATAATTTATTTTTTAGAATTTCTTTTATTACAAAAGTATTATTCTAAGTATATATATATATTAATTTATTAATATTTTATTAGATTTTATTTTTAAAGAACAATTAAAGCTTTTAACTAAAGTTCTTTATGATATACAAAGAAGGCAAAATCTTCCTTTAGAATTAGATCTAAAAAGTTTTTGTACTTTAATTAAAAATCAAGAATTGCGTTTACAAGGATTTTTTAAAGAATTTGTAAATGCATTGAATTCCAAAAGAAGATCAAAAAAAACATTAGAAAATTGAAAAAAAACAGCTGTTAGATTTTGTTATCTTCTTGCTAGGTTGGATAATAAATTTATTAATAATTTAAAACTTGAAATTGGACTTTTTTTAAAAGAATGTTGAACTTTAAGAGAAGGTATTGAAACTTTATCATCATAGATCTTAGTGTATGTGCTAAAATAGTTGATAGTTACAGGTAACAAATTTTAACAAATCATCCTAAAAAAATAGATGAATATTTTACAATTAATGTAAGTTATTTAAAAAAAAAATTAATGCATAACAAATATATATTTTTAATTTAATTTATTTATATTATATAATTTAATTTAATTTAATTTAAAATTTAATTTAATTTTAATTAAAATATTATAAAATCTTTTGATTTTAATAAATAATAGTAAATTAACGCTAAAAGTTTATTTTATATATCTATATAATATAGAATAATAATCTTTATATATTTAATATTGATAATTATCATGCAATTCATTCTATACATCGACCTGTTACTTTAATTACCACCAATGATAAATATTTTACAACTTGTCTTTTAAAATTAGTTGATAATTGTGCATTAATTCCAACAATTTATTAAAATATATCAATTCAAAATCCTAAAAATGTTGATGCTTTTAATTTTTGTTAGTATTTAGAAACATATTATAGTAGAATTTTTGATACAAGCTATAATATTAGAAAAAATCAGTGGATTACATAAAAATCAATAAATCAAAATCAATTTAACTATACAGTCAGACCTGTCTATAATCACCACTTTTGGTTTTCAAAAATTATGTGATTATAAATAGGGGTGATTATAT